TTTGTTTGGCTAATTTATACATATATTTTTCACCCTCCTTAGTATATAATCTATTATAAAGATTATTAAAAGCAGAATTTTTAGTGTCACATATTGTTCTTTTAGACTCCCTGCGGGCCGTTTGATATTTTTTCCCAGTTCTCTAAGTTTTTACATTTAAATCAATTTTTATAACTCTTCTCTTGCGCATTATTATTCCACCACCAACTATTTTTATTTATAAAAATTTTTTCTTTTGATTCTCCAAGCACATCTTTTGCTACTTGTTTAATAGTATTTGTTACTTTATCCCACATAACATTTGTTTCTTCATGAATATCCCAAATTTTGAAAATCTTGAATTTTACTCATAAAAATAATTTTATTTGTGTCTTTTAAGTTTCTCCATCTAATTCTACGATGAGTCCTAGTATTCTTTATTTTGCAACTCTTAATCTTAAAATCTAACTAATAAACAATGTTGGGTACTTAAATTCTCACTTTGAATGACCTTACAATCTTTACAATCGCGACGATCTCTTCTTCTCATAAGATAATAATCAATTTGTGTTTTATTAGATCTACTTTTATAAGTAAAAAGATGTTCATCTCTTTTCTTGAATAAAATATTAGTAATAACAAAATCATACGCTAAAGCAAAATCTAAAATAGTTCTACCTTCTTCATTAGTTACTCCAATACCGTAGCCACCATAAGTATTTTTGAAGTCATCTACCACTCTACCATCATACCCATTTAAAAGCATCAGATCACATAAATTGAATCAAAATTCAAATGAAGAAACCATATTTATACTCAAATATAATCCCAAATTAAAAAATTTAAATTTAAACATGTTATTATCCAAAAAAGATGATTGGGCCTAACAAAAATTTTAGATGACTATAAAGTTACTTCAGCCTAAAACAGAAATGGGTGTAAAAGGACTCAGATCATATTCAGCTCCATTAATGCCAGATTAGCAGGCAAAAAGTTGATCCTTTTTGAGCTATACTAATTAATTTGTACTGCATCATTTAAACTTCCCAGCCTCCCATATAATTTAGCTTAAAACAAACTAAAAAAATAACTTGATACATTTCCCAAAGGCATTTGCAGTTTTCTCAATATTTATACAATTGATTTATGACTCTAACTCTATTTTCCATTATCATTCTCAATGTTCATCATAACCAGTGTTTCTAGGGCTAACTAATCTGTTATTCTCCAAATTCATCATAAATGTTTTTTTCTAGGGCCAACTAACCTTCTAATTTTTTATTTGATGCAACTGTAGGAATCAAATCTTCACGTTAGAATCAGTCACCCTAATCAATAAATCCTCGGTTTTCTAAGTCATCCACAATAAGATTATTGCAATTTCCATTAGTTCAATATATTCATATCCTGGACCTCGCACTATCTTCATTCATAGTTTTAAGGGGTGAGGCAGGTAATTAATTCCAATATTTTGATAGAAGACTACAATTTACAGTAAAATGAAGGCAAATGTGGTTAAAAGTTAAGTTAGCACCTACATGACAATGGCAATTGGACAAGTTATAAATACAATAAGTGCTTTGGGTATGAATTTAGTATTGCAGATGCTATGGATTATTTTCTCCACCTTAAATTTGGGTTCTCAACACTAAAAAATGCAATTGATAAAGTAACCATATCTATATATATATATCTGTAATTGTGATTTGGTAGTACTGCAGAATCAAAAAAATTTTAAATCCGTACAAACTTCGAAGAGTCAAAATAATCAAACTAGACATTGAGGGTATGCACAGAGATGCAAAAAATATAAAACAAAAATAGTAACAAGTGTTATGAATTACAACACCAAGAATATATAAGATAGTTAGGGATTAGAATCTCATAGAAATTTTAGCAAATGAATATGCTGAATCTGAGTGCAATAATAAAAATGCAAACAACATGTCTTGATGACCAACAGATTGCTATATACATGTATATCATTAATGTAGAATGCAGTCCTGAATGCAGGAAAAGATAAGACTAAGTGAAAAGTCAAGGCTTTTGCATACATACGTATCATGCAGGTAATCCCACGAGGACAGAAGAAACCCTCACAGCAAGGACGGCAATTCTGGGTTCTAGAAGGAATGTTTACGGAATCTTCAAGGGAAACATTCTGATCTTCAACAACACCGCATGCCCATCCAGGCTCACAGCCAGAAACCCAAGAAGACGTATTGCAGTTTCTGTTAGGCCTCAAGAAATTATTTTTTCCCCCATTAAAAAAGAAACTGTTGAAGTAGAACTTAATTTCCGCAGCTGTGCAGATTCGTTGTGTTAAATCCCCTGTCAATCCAATGAAAAAACTAATAAAATAAAGTTTACCAAGGCTACCATGTAAACAAGCATTTTAAAAGAACTTCTAGCACTAAGAAACTGAAATAAACAAATAACAAGGAAATGCAGAAAGCAGGGTAACAGGATAAGTACTATGTGATGATGCCTAGCCTAAGGCCAATTTGGTCTTTTGTACTTTTAAGGGCAATTTGGTCTTCTATTATTATTATTGTTGGGCATAAATAGGCATATTATGTTTAGAGTTCATGCATGAGATGGTTATCGCGAGTCTTAGGATTAGCATTTGGGAGAAATTTCATACTTTTCATATTGTAGGAAGTGGGAGACATCGCATATATCTTGAATTGTAAGTGCTTAACTTGCATTAGTGTTGTTTTGGATTTTTAACGAAAAGAATTTGTTTTACCCTAATTTCTATGAAAACTCATTACGATTTATACCTCGGATCATATCAAAATTGATATCGAAGCTTAAGATTCTGGGAATCGGATCAGAAGAAAAAGAATTGATCGACTTAACGGAAGTTGAAGCAAATCGTGGCTTATTGGGCAACAATTTAGCGTAATAAGCAACACAATCGCTTTATCCAGCGTGTGTCTGGGACGCAATAGTCAGGATTAGCGTATTGAGACTCGAAACTCCCATTTCTCTCTTCCTTCTACTTCATCCTCGAAAAGCAGTCGCGACTAGAAATAGCTAGGAAGGCAGAGACTATGAAGCGGTATACAGAGAACTGAAACTTGAATCTTTCACCTACTCCCGTTCGCAATAAAGTGGTGAGTTCAGCTGGTGAGGAAGGCGACGAAGGGATCACATCTTTCGTTTCCTATGAAGACTGACGAGATCGTTGTTATACAGAGGGCGGGATTACCGCTTACAGAGTTGTGCCTTTTCGTTCGTGAAGCATCACACAAAACAGGCGTACAGGAGTTTGTGGGGGAAGCAAACAACGGGATGACTGTGTACAGAACGCGATACAGTCGCAATTTGAGCCTTTTTGGGGGAGCCAACAGGGTCGCGATTTGAGCCTGTTGGGGACTCAGCGGGATCATATAGGGTAGTGACTGAAGCCTTGTGATACGATCGAGGTTCTAGTTATCTAGAAAACATAAGGGATCGAGGCGTAGTGGGGAAGACTGTGACAAGGTAGGGCGTGCCCTAATCGTGATCTTAGAGGTCAGTGACCAAATTCGGGATCTAGCATGCCCTAGTGACAAGAAGTAATGGCAGCCAAGAAAATAGCCGATTTAGAGAAGACATTGAAGAAAGAAGATGGGCAACTTAAATCTGGATCTGGGATAGAGGAGAGGATTTCCCCTATTGACAATCGATTCAAGAGCTTGGATGAAATACTGAGGAAGCTTATTTAAATGCAATCCAGGAGCCCATCGACAATTCAATTAGCAAACCCTGCCCAATGGCTCACCCAAGATTCATTAGCTGAATCGATAGAGAAAGAAATCTGACGAGAGGAAGAAGAGGAGGAAAGCATTCACCATCAAGAGCCTCCTCAAATGGCTCTAATAGGGGGTAGATTAGAGATTTCAGATGGAGGCAGGTGCGCCGAAACATAGAGAATGGGTTATGCAAGGGTTATGGAGGAGCTAGAAGAATAAAGAAGAAAAGTCGGGAGGGGGTGTGGCTCTGATCGAAATAGAGAGCTTTACCCTCGATACATGGGGGAAAATAGCAGAGTAACAGGAAGTTTGGATGATGATGCTAAGGGTAGTAAGTTGAAGTTTCTAATCTTCAAAGAGGAAGATGCGCATGGGTGGGTGTATCGGGTTGAGAGATGCTTCACGGTGAATGGGCTAGATGGAGAGGAAAAACTTAGAGTGGTGGGTTATGTTTGAAGGGGAAAACCATAGCCCTGTTTCATTGGAGGGAGACAAGATAATTGATCCTCTCGTGGGAGGAATTTAATGATTGTTTGTTGGAACGTTTCCTAGACATTCGGGAAGGACACCTACACGAGAAATTATATATCTTGACTTAGGAGGGGACTATCATGGAATATAGAAAGAGATTCAAGTTGTTGTAAAGACGGTTGAGAGGATTTCTAAAGCAAGATTGGAAGGGAATTTCATGAAGGGCCTAAAGCCCAACATTCAGGTAGCACTTCAACTATTGAGATGGCGGGAATTGAGGGAGATGATGGAGTTAGCCCAAATGATAGAGCACAAGAACTAGATGGAGAAGGCTACCAGATCAGCGGAGATGGAGCACCGGACTGAACTGCTACAACCACGAAGATACCAAAAGTTAAAATAGTGGAAATTCAGAAGGAGGATGCACGGGACAAGAATAATGGGCCTCAACCAGGAGCAATAATCAAGCGTCTTGCAAAGACAGAGAAGCGGGATAAGTGAGCCCATGGGTTATATTTTTGTGTGATAAAACGTTTATCCCAGAACATCGTTGCAAGCCATGGTATGCCTTATGTTCCATGGCACGAATTATGCAAGTCACAGTTAAATGGGGGGTTCGGATTCCACGCTGCGGCTGAATGGAAGGGGCCACTTCGCGCCCGTTTTGCTTGGAACTTTCTTTCACAGTAAGGTACCCTTTTCATAAATTTCTAACCAGCAATTACGGAGAAGATTTATGGAATTATCACAGTAATAGGGGGGAGTCTATGGCCTGGAACATTTTGATAGATGGGACGAGGAGCTTAAATAAAATAATAAGGTGGCATGTCACCAATGGTGACAACATCAATGTCCTGGCGCAAAAATGGATCTTGGATCATCAACTCAACTTATGGCCAACCTTTATCAACCCGAATATTGCAGAAGGTGCTTCTGTTGTGATTTTAATTGATAATCAAGAATTGAATAGAAATAAACAACAAGATTTCTTTGGAATGGAACAATGCTAAATCATAATTAGTCAATCAATTGAGAGGAACCAGCCACTTGATACACTGGAACTATGCAAGAAGCTAACGGGAAGGACTATTACTACCAGTGCTTTCCAAACAAATTACGGGCACCTAACTGTTACACATGGGTGGCTCGCCAAGCAGTAATTGTGGCCCAGAGAGAAGGCTTTTTGGTGGAGAATGAGCATGGACGCGATCCCAACCAATGCTTGGTTTGCTGTTAGAAGGTTAACTGAATCTCAAAGCTGCATGTGGGGTTGTAATGAGCTGGACAATAGGGAGCATATCACGACAAGTTGTGTTTTTCTAGGTGTAGTTATTGATAAACTCAAGAGATTGGGATTTAATATTCCGAGGCAACAGAGTGTTCACAATATCATCTCTCAGTTTATAAATGCCAAGACTGCTGATATCCCTTCAAACGGGATTCTTTGCAATTCAGTTTGCATTTGTTGGCACGCAAGAAATGCTAAAAAGCATGGTAAATGTCATGTACCCCCACTACAATTGCCTCAAATGTATTGGAGACTCTTCCTGACCATTGCTTCCTTCCTTCGCCGGAGCAATGTCATGTACCCCCCCC